TAATCCGTGTTATTGGTTCTGAGATCCTTCGTCGTTGATGTGAGGTCGGCGTTTACATGACATGAATATAGCGAACTCGAGAGGCGCTATATCGACTGGTATAACAAATCTTCATGTGGATTCAATGTGCGCACATATATGATTTTGTGCCTTTAATTATAAAACAACTTACTGCTGGAACAATGAAACAATGACGAGCGGATAGAGATAAGTACCAGAACCACTCAAATTTTTTAGTACGAGAAAGTGACTTCGAAATTCCAGTATAGGAGATAGTGAAAGGAAAAGAACCTCTGACGTAAAGAGCTGAAATAAACAGTACTCAACGAAGTGCAATTTCGACGAGTAAACGAAGTGTGCGTATTTTCCATAACAGCTGTTATGGGGAAGGTTCTAAAAAGGGAACTAAACAGATCGTGCTAGATAGATACACGAAGAAAATACGATAAATAGGGAAATTAAATGTAGCAAAGGACACTTGTGATGCTGTATGAGAGAGGGAATCCTATGGAAAGGGATGTTATCGATAATGGGGCTAGCAACTTAAAGGGCAACAGCGGATAGAAAATAATAGATTCTTTCTAGAAATCAAATGGGAAAGAGGAAATGAGAGGGATATATGGGGGGCTCAAGTTAGCGATGTTCACAAGGGAGCAAGGTAGCGGGGTGGACGGAAAAGTACTTCAGAAACATCGAGAAAGGGATAGGTATGAGGGTTACCGGATGATGGGGTAAATGTAAAGGTAAAAAAAAGAGAGGAAGATGAGAAAAAGGGAAAGGGGAGAGCTGGGAAAAGAGGAAGAGGATCCTTTCAGTGGCGGCTGTAGCGGACGAACTGGATGCCACGAACTCTGTCGTGGAGCTGGCCGATGCTAACACTCACGTCGTTAAAGGGAGACTACGTAACCGAAGTACCGGCTTTCAAGCGTAAGCACTTATGTTGGCCGACGTACGCTACAGAACTTACGGGCTTTCAATAAATGATGATATGAAAGAGCAACAACTCTCGGAGCGGTATCATAAACAAATGCAATAATAAGATTCCGTTTGAAGTACTATCGACCATGAACCATTCATAGGCATGTGGCATGTCAGCCTGAAAAACAGATGGACGTCAACAAGCAACTGTGATAGCTCTGATAATAATAATATAATGAATGGCAGTGAAACCCGAGCGATTCGTCGACCAAGAAGGAGTAAATTACAACAAATAGAAATTGACAGTTGAGGACATTTTTAAAATTCTGAAAATTCTTTAGTGTCGTGCATCGCCCGTATTGCAATGACAATACGTCAAGGTCCAGACTCAAAGACTATTGTTGTCATCTGAACTGTGCTACCACTGACACTTTACAATGTACGATATTTGAATTTTTCTCATTTGCACGGACATTGCAAGATAGCAACTAAAGCGAGTAAACAGATAAACGGATATGCTGCTTCCGAAGCAACCCAAAGAGACACAAGCATTACGAATAGTGAGAGTTTATGAGATAACTTATCCTGCACGATACCATTAAAATATATTGTGATTTGTGACATGCTGAGAAATACGTTTGGGCTTTTTGCTAATTCATCACATTCACGTTCTCGAAGTTTTAAGCTTTCGATGGTGAACCTTTTCGAGGATGCAATATCGATGCTCGTCAATGGGCCAGTTAAATATTAAGCAATTTTATATAAGAAATAAACTAAACCGTTTGCGAATAAATGATTTCATTGTCAGACGAACCAATCCATACCATTCAAGTACTGGAAAATATAATCCATAAGCCGTAACGGGTAGTATGTATTCTTGACTCAATCAATGGTCATATGATAGTAATCGTTTGATAAAAGATTCCGCACGTCACGATCTTGTTTTTACAGTCTTTGCCAGTGATTCTCCTGCTGCTGATAACGACGATTATGAAGGGAATGACGGTACTACAGAGACTATGTGCCTCCTATGAATCATCTAAATTCTACCAAGTGGTTCCCGTAAAATCGCATCTGGATCCTTCTGGATGTGCTGTGCGAGCTCCAAAGAGTCTTTGAAACGTAGTTACCCGACTTCGCTGTAATAACAACATTCGAATTACTTTACGAAATACGTCAATAGATCTGTATTTAGAACTTTAATGACATTCGCACTAAATACAGAAGAGTAGACTCGTAACTTTATTTCAATTTGGGGCGAATGTCCGCCTCTATAGCGGGTTCTAAATACCAAGACAAATAAGTGTGTACCCCAAATGGCAGCTGCTGGTTCGACATCGATTTAATGGCTGATGCTGCTGTTTCTGCGGTTAAGGAAGTCGAGTTCAATCACTTAGGCTTTCACTACCACCACTATGGTTACAAGTACTACAGCAGTTAGTGTGGGAAAGAACGGAAGCTCGCTGATCGGCGCTGGGTGGTGCTGATGCGCGTCACCGTCACCATCATCATCACAGAGCGCGGGCTGCAGGCCACAGACAGCTCTACTCGGCGTGACTACGCGACTGCTGTAGTCTCTAGCAGCAGAGTCATTCAATCAGTGAACACGCAGTAGCTGCCGTCTCCGCCACCATCGTAAGGACTGGTAGCAGCTATGAATATCGGCCACTGCTGCCGGTCTTCTTCTCTTCAATTGGCTCTATTCTACCCTACTTGCCATCGAGTGTCGTCTGATGGCAGTACGCTGCTGGTGAGGTCTAGTCTGATTTCCTTTGCCAGTCAATGAGACACACAGATAATCGCACAAGGAGTCTGTACCGGTAATCAGGTTAGCTGATACTCGCCGGAGACAAAACAACAAGCTGAGGACTACGTCACTACGACCACACGGCTGGACCTAACCTTCTGCTACTACCCGGTTTAACCTGGCCTCACTTCACGCCGTCCCGTTCTTCTTATTGTAATCGCTTTGCTGGTTTAGAGCAAGTACTGCATTCTACGTTGTACTAAAGTCTTGTACGGTTTACTTTACTCGTACAACTACCGGACAACTACGGCAGCGACTAATTCTATTCAGCCACGTACTCCTGATAGACCGCTGACAGGCTGCTGGAGTTCCACTGACCACAGTAGTCAATGGAACTGGTGTAGTATAAGATTGCAGTACTGTACCGCTTATTCACTTTACACCAGAGAGCAGTCACTGCTCGAACGCACAGCACCCGCATCCGTCACTCTTATTGCTGTGCCTGCTTACGCAGCACACGCTGGTTGCCGTCATTGCCGCCAGATTTGAGGTATCATGTCAGTCGGACCACAGGGCCACCGGAATCAAGTCTCTGACGACGCCTCTAACTACTAGCAGCACAGCTGTTACCGCCGCTTGTGTTGGAGATAATAAATGGCGGGTAACGACTGAACTGTTGCAGCTGCTGTCCAACGACCTAATAGTCGTTCAATACAACTGCTCAGCGTTTGTATTTACATGCTGCAGCACCGGCCGTACCAGCCACAGTAAGGCTGAGAGCGGCAAAAGACGCAACAGTCCAACAAGGGCAACACAATCATCGCGAGAGGCAGTTGCTGCTGCCGCCGCCGGTCCGATTTCGTGGGTTGTTGTTTGCTTGCCGCTGCAGCTGGTGCTCACTGACGGCCTGAGCCGACTTAACTAAGCTGAATGACTGGCTCACTCGTGCGTGGTCTTCTGACTGGTGTCGTCGTTGGCATTTCTACCAGACACCTTGATCACTACGACAACCATGTCGATCATGGTACGCTGCTACTCATAGATCACAGTCGCGAACAGAGTAGTGCTAGATACAGTGATTTAACGTGTCGTACCGTAAGCATTCTTATTGTGGCATTCGAGCAACGACTGAATCGAGCACGGCAGTAAAAAGCGACAAGGAAAATTACAATAGCCATCGGTGATCATCTGTCGATAGGGTAACCACAACACAAAACCGCGCAGCGAGAAGACAAACCTAAATCAAGCTTAATAGCAACACCAGAAGGGTTACCCACCCAACATCGTCTTACTCATCCGTTTACATTCGCTGTTTGACGTCGTCACTGTCGTCATTGTGCTTATCGTCGTTGTCGTCGTTGCCGTGAGTGACAGCAGCAGCGGCGGCAGCAGCACCATCGTTGTTGTTGTTGTCGTCGTCGTTGTGCGCTTAACAACTGAAACAAGCAGACAACTTTATCCCGTAACCGCTCTTATCTATTCGTAAACCAGTCAGTCATTGACTTGTCGATCTACTGTCGGTGACGGTAGTGCTGCTGGCGGCCTTTTTGTCCTTTGGACAACCCATTTTCTCACCTCACGTCACTCCCATTATCGACTTGTTAGGGGAGTTAACATAACAACCATCAGTAGTCAGAGCAAAGTATTGTCCCTTAGCGCCGATGATTCGGCCGATACGCTACCCCCTCAGATTACAGCCTACTGCTGCTGATAATTGGATGCTAAAAGCGAACGAAGCCACTTCGTATTTATCGCATTGCAGTTGCATTCATCCAATAGGAGAAACAATAACCGCCCGTGCTTTGTTCTATGGAATCGCGACTAACACAACAAGTTTAGTGGTGCTTACTGTTGCACAGGGGCATTTTGAGCGCTCTTTATTTCGTTTCAGCTGGTAGAAATTCAGCTGATGGCGATGGTGAGGCAGCCCTGCGCAGAATGCGTTTCTCGCTAAATTGTCCTCATCTCAAGTCCATATCCTTATAACAATGAACTTACATCTTCAGAAGACGACGCCTTTGCCATGAAATAAAGCAAACTTCTGTTACTTAAGGGCATTCTTCAATGCAGTATAATAATAGCCAATTACTTCGACTAAAGCCTAGCATTAAACGACCAATGAAGACAAAACTGGACCAACGGATATTCGTAAACGTGTTTCCGGGTGTAGATGTGTTTTAGTGTGTTATTTCATGATTCAAAATGTAAAAGCAGTGCTTATTTGCGCTATTTAAGCCAATTACTGCAAATGGACAAGTTCACAGAGGACGTGGTGACTTTCGAATACAACTACTATCTACTATATAGTCCCAAAAGCGCGACAAAACGAGTTTATTAATAATGTGGCTACGTAAATTTTGGCAATCGTAATTATTAGTCGTGGTCAGAGTTCAACACAGTAGTACTAGCAACTGAGCTTGTAGAGAATTCTCTATCCTCCTTTCAATATGTTCCGTTGCTTTCAATATTCGTCGGCATATCGCTCGCTGGATGAACCCCCAGATGATCTCAGTGCTGAAGAAGAAAACAGTTTGCGCGGTGTTCAAGGAGAACTTCCCGTAAGCTCAGTCGAAGATGAAAGTTGTTTTTCTCGAGTTGGAACTACCTCAACAACAGCTTTACAGCAGAGGTCCTTGTCAGCACAAAGAAGCTCTCCACTCTCTTCCACTACGAGTCTTTTTCCGGTCAATCAAAACCGTGTCTCCCCGGCAGATCTAAACAGATTGTCGCCATTGTCTGTGTCTTCCACTGGAGCAGAGGGATCAAGTAGAAGCGAGCAGCATCTTCAACTGGTATACGGTGGCTCAACTGTGGCAAATCTGGGCGGTCATTTAGGAGGATCGACAGGCACACTGTCTGCAAACCTATCTAATCTATTGAGTCCTCCAGCCCCACCACTTGGGGGTTCTCTTGCGGGAACTCATTCGGCTCCTGGCTCCACTGCCGGTTTCACGCCGGAGCTGAAGAGGCCACCGAATCATAAATATGTTAAACATCTCGAGGCTACACTGCTCAAAAATTCATTCAGCGACTCACAACTGAATCGACGCCAACGTGACGAAGAAAGGTACATCCGAGTGTCGATTGGAGCACATTTACCTGGTGCGTTATCGGGAACTCCGGGAGCTCAGCAGGTAATTCCACCACCACGTCCAACTGTTCCCTGTCCGAAACGGGATAAAAAATCACGCGAACTCGTTGCGCGCTTAGCTCCCATAGACACAACGGAGCGATGGTCACCTGCTGGCCTCGACAAAACGATTGCAGTCAAGAGTACCGGCGGCAGTGGCAGTAACAGCGTCAGAGACACAAATACAAATGAAGTCAAAGGCAAGGACAACCAACTAAAGGAGATCAAGATGGGCGGAAGGACACAGGTCATACGCGTTCCTGTGGACGGTGCTCCACTTTGCTGGGCTCCACCTGTACCAGGACAGCGTTTGTCCGTTGTCCAAGAGAGTGTATCAGATTGCCTTGAGGTAACGCAGCGATCGCAGAAACTTCAGTATTCACAGAAGTTCCAGCAATTGCCAAATGAATGTAATGAAAAAACTCATGACAGCAGTTCTGTTTTCAAAGGACCAGTGCACCTACCTCAGCATCGCCACCATCTACATCTTCAGCCGCGTAAGTCGCAAGATATTTATAAAACTGGTTGGCTTTCACGAGGCTCGTGTGAGCGCTACGTCGCTCCTCTATTTAAGACCTATCTATAAAGTTTAGTAAGCCCAAAGCACACGGTCAGGGGCTGTGTATGTACAGTTACTAACAGAGCTTCAAAATATCAATGTTACGCGGTTGTCAGTAGTGTTAAGTTTTTCAAAAAATATTCGGCGGTTTCATATTCACGAAACATATTTTTTGTCCGTTGGCTCTTCATGTTAGTCTACTTCTGTAATATCTAATATTGGAAAGGTTATTCTCTTGTGCATTGCCCTATTCGTTAGAAAGTGCATGAGAATAAGCAGACGCTCGACAAGTAACTCAATTACGTCGCGCTTATCCGACAGGAAACGCTTGAGAGACGAGGTCGAGTCAACGACAATGTCACCCATGCAAAGGAAAGGGGGTTAAAACAACCTCCAACGGCAAACAGTTGCATGAAAGGTTCTCTTGGAGTTACAGTATTTTCCGAACTTTGCACCCGTGAATTATCGCTTTCCCAATCACTGGCTATGAAAAGCGGTACAATTAACAAAGAACAGTGTCTCTAGTGTTGACCCTTCGTTACCACCAGACATAAACCTTCCTGTCGAGACGGAATAAAGGAACTGGTCGAATAAACGAAACATTTCATAAACGTTAGTCTATTGCTGGAATCTAAATAAAATACCGTTGTTATTATTACTATTATACGGATTGATTTCCGTTATCGTCAAATCACTTCCTTAGTTTTTCTAGTTTTGTTTCCCGAACGATATGCTGTCTCTTAGTATCATCCACCCACTGTATCGAGTGCATATAACCAGCTATATATCTATTAATTTCGCAAATTATATCTTCTTCGCAAGTGCGGCGTAGAATCAATGATCACGCAAGCGTGTACGTCAAACTCGAAATCAGAAAATTATTTGTTTATTCTATTAAACGCCTCACAATTTTTTGTACACGTGAAAAATGTTTTGAGATACAAGCCTATTTTCTAGTGATTACAGCCTGCGTCAGGTTGACCGTCCTACAAGCGTTCGGCAATTCGGCCTTTAAAACTATCAGTGTTTGCTTGCTTAGTATTCTATGTACACCTTGATAAAACTTAAGATATCGATAGGTGACAACAACTCATTGCCACAGTAAATTTATAAATTAACCTGATTGCTAATTTCGTTGAGTATCCTGATGATCCCTCAACTCGTTAAAATTACCCATATCGAAGCAGTTTGCAATGGTCGCCGACACAGTTGATCGGTGTCAAGCCCCTGGTGATTATGTGTTTCGACGTAAGAAATTCTTCCCATAGTACAATACTTCGACGCAAACCGGGTTGCAAAAAAGGCGCTATCAACACTTCTTTGCAGTGATCAGGCGATACATGACCAAAAACGTTAACCTTCATGATTCTGGACGTCAACACAATTGAAAACCGTCCGCTCATTGTTGATCTTGTCTGCATAAACTGACAACGTAAAATTTGTATTTATTTAATTTTCAGGCAATGTACCATTTACAGCCAGTTCTAGTGCGCGTCTTCCCATACGCATCGTCGTTGGTGGGACCACTATAATCCAAGATGCAGATACCTATTCAGGAATGGTTGGCGACCAAACAAGCGCAGATAATAGGTTAGCGTCCTTTGCCGTATCACCGATCAACGGGAATAACGAGGCCTTTGGAATTAACGAAGTGTGCTCCGTCAACCAAAGGCGACCGGCAGCATTTTCCGGTGAAGTTCCTCTTGCTAAGGCCGGTCGATTTCTTCCGACTCAAAGCAGTTCCTGTAGGGTGAATACCATCCGAAACCAGGATCAGTTCCATCCCGTGCAACAACGAGCACAAATCACTTCCAGTACAACTACGTCTTTTTCGACCATTAGTTCAGCGCGAAACGCCTCTTCTCGACTAATTTCCGCTGCCAGTAGAAAGTGTAGAATGGCGCCGCCGTCGAATTCATCGAACATTCTCGACAACGCGTCTGGAACCTCAGCAGGGACAGGATGTCTAGGAGGAGCCACCGGCGCCCTCGGTGCAACAAATGTTTCTGGATCAACAACAACAACGGCAGCAGCAGCAGCAGGAGGAGGCGGCGGCGGCTCCTCTTCGTCAAGGAATTGGTTACATCAGGACAACGAAATACTTGGCCAGGGCGTGTGCTATACCGTAAAGGTAATTAAGTGCCTGTAGCTCCACACGACGTAAAATTTGATGCGATGGTCTAAATGGTTCGTTCCACCTTTAAACGAAACGATCAGCAGTAGGCTTTAGTGGCCAACGTGATAAAACAAGGTAACTCAATACAGCGTTAATTACGTTGCGCTAGAATACAGTGGTCAGACTTGACTTATCTGTGGTTGGTATGCCGCCATAGTGGCAATCTGACGTTTTCTGGTCAGCCTCCAGTTGCTCGTGGAGTGTCGAGTATTTTGTCGATTGGATTCAATGCAGGCTTTGCAACGAGGTTAACACGATAATCGTTGCACCATAGTACAGATTCGATTAGGTAGTCCACACCTACCTAGACCTATCAAGCTGATACAGGAAGCGAATGAAACGAGTGATATAATATAGGTAGGTGTCCGTTTAAAATTAGACTGGCACAAAAAAGCGTTACGAATCAGCTTATTATAAATAAGAAACGATGCTCTAAATTCATTATCCAAGTTTTAAATGATCACGTCCGTTGATTATAGTCGAGGTAAATACTTTGGTGCAGTCGAGCGAAAAATTTCGTCTGCAACTAAATAGTCCTTTGGGCATGTTTTTTCCTCTTATAATGTAGATTAGATTTCGACGATAGATATGTCTAACGCATTTATCTATTTTATGGTGATCTTCATAGTTTTATCATTGTTGGAGTGCAATTTTGTGTTGTGCTTAGTGTTCCATGAACAAAATATATATTATTTGTTACACTGATTTGATGTATTGAGTCTGCCAGATATGTGAAATTGTCTGTGTGAACTTGTGACGGTAAGGTAATAAAAACCGTGCCATTTTGCTGCATAAACGTGTAACGGTAACCTCGCCTATGTGCGCATCACGCCCTCCCGACTGGGGTCTTATTGTGCATAGCAAAACCAACCAACATCTTTGGCTTTCCTTTGGTTCCGTTTGAATTCTTTCGGAACGAGACGTTCTCTTTATGACTACATAGACGCACGCAAACATGAAAAGTATTGGCAGAACACTTTTTACTTTGATCATTTGTTGAATTTAAACGGAGTAAAATATGTATTATAGCACTGTCTGACGAGGGCGTGCAATAGAGTCGATGACTTGATTTCGTTTACTTATTCAACACAGACCGCTCAAAGCGAGACACACAGTTTACATAATATATTCATATCTAGTGTCTGGGCTGTCGTGTTCCATGACCATGATCCAAAGCTCCAAGCGTCAGCGAACCCAGCCCCGCTCTGGAAAGCGTAGCCTCTCAACTGATCCTTGAGCCAGCGTTGGTGAGGCGATTCCAGTTTTGGCTTTTTTCTTTATCGGATACGTGATCTGGGCCGCAGCAAAATACTTGAATAGGATTTTGTTTGTTTCATTAGTTCTCTCAGAAACATAATAAATATAGTGACCTTTTGTTGCTTTTTGCTAACACAGACGCGTTGGTGATTGTATGCCATCATCGGTCTATAAGCGTTAAGGATAGAAACAGTTCAAGATTTCGTAGTATCGATCGCGTTGAGTTGAATACAGAATTAACACTGCAATATGGCTTATGTAGCGGATTCATTTTAACAATTTAATTGTTCGGTTGGCAAATTCTTACCTGTTGAACTCAGGAGACGCTTTTTTATGTACACTTATTTACTAGAATCGCAGATGCAGCAGCTCAAATAGAACTATAACGATGAATTTGTAACTAGTGTACCAAACCATAGTATTATGTGCATGAGAACGTTATTTGAAGCGTGGGTCGTGCTTGATGGAAAATCTGTTTGTTACTTAAACGAAGGCTATAGCGCGAATTTGCTGGCATAGTCACGTGTATCGGAACGTTCGACATTTACTTAAATTACGGAACTGAATTCTATGATTTGGTCCTATAAGATACAGTCTGAGGTAGATTTTCACAGGCGAAAAATTCTGTCGCACTTATGTCCTCATTTGTGGAAGCGTGTTTAAAATGTTCGATCGTAGTAAGTTTTATTTCTATATCGTTTTGGCTTTGTCCTTATGTTGAATATTTTTGTGGCTATAGATTGTTATAAGCCACCGATCGACCTGCTTGAATTGTTAGCTTCTAAAAAAGCGTTGTGCCTGTTATGTCCTGCATTGAACGAAATCAAGTGGATTTATATGAGGATTTGATGACAATTGCGAAGATGAAACCGCATCAGTTCCGTTGTTGCTTCATTTAAGCAAGATCATCCTGAGTTTATTCAACGACTAGCTTTTGTCATTTTCAACAAAATGATCATGCAGATCGTACGCAAGCGGCATGCACTTGTTTCTTCATTATCTGCATAGCAGACAATTTGATTTAATCTTGTTTCACTTTATTGGCATATTCTAAGTGCGTAAATGTCTGTAAGTGCAAAATTTTTATTTGTTTGCTTAAACCTCTGCTTCGTTCACAAGACTCTCGTGGGCACATCGGCCTGAAAATCGCCTAAGACTCGACTGTGTAGTCACTCATTCGCCTGCTTCATGCAGACCTTGCTGCTGCTGTCGATGTCGCTGCCGCCAACATACTCAGCTCCTCTTCTACACTCCCTGATGACGTCGACTGTCGGCGGCCGAGGCTCGTCGTCGTCATCGTCGTCGCCGTCGCCGTCGCCGTCGCCGTCGTCGCCGTCGCCGTCGTCGTCGTCGTCGTCGTCGT